TCCATTCACTATCTAACATATACAATATGATACAAATAGGTGTAATGGACGAGGCACCTGTTCATTTTCAGACTAAATGGACAAATGCCTGGGTTAGTCAGACTAAAAGGGAATTTTTTTATAAATGGGCAACACGGTGGTATAGAACCCCTGCATTACTGCGTTATCTTCTAAAAGTAGAAAATAAAAGCTGGAGATGTGGGCTTGAGGAAGGTGTAGCGGAGAGCTGCTATTACACAGGTTATCTCCACTTAAGATCCCAGTGAGGCTCAGGAACAAGTAATAAAAATACCATAGAGTAATAATTCCAGCAAGCAAGATAATCAATGAATATTCCCATACAGATCCCAATGACTGGACGACACACAGCATCAGGAGCAGAACCGTCTTTTAATCCACACAACCTCCGTATAAAGCATTCTCCCATGCAAGGGAGGGATTCACCATAATTAGGACAGTAACCAATAATGTCACAATTACCTCCGACACATCTCCTCCCCTCAGTGTGACACCTAATCCCATTATACATGCTGTAGTTTTCCCCGAGTTCTGGATGTACCCCAAAACAAGCAGTTATAATACTACTTTGGGTACCCCCTGGTAGCCCTGATCTGGGCGACTAACATATCCAAAATTCACCCAGATCGGACCAGGGGTTCGGGAGTTAGGTGGAGGGTGTTATTTGACCGACCACACACGAGGTGGTATCCGAAAAAGTGTTTTTGGCCTTGCGGTCGGTCTCTGTTCGGGAGTTAAAAGACATAGAAATACCTGCCATCCACAGCTAATCTTCCATTCTTATTAATTCCCTTGTTCGGGACATTGATTTTATCGAACGAGGGGCTGACTAGTCCCTCCGTTTGTGAGTTATGGAACTCTGGAGGTCTCAGCGGTGTTCGGTTGTTTGAGTGTTGATTTGATTTCCAGACACTCGACGACCAAACACCGCTGAGATTTTCATGCGTAAGATGGCCACCGCATGTGGTTCGCATGCCGAACGGCGACCACACAGGCACATACAATGTATCAATTAAGCTGCGGTTTGCAGAGTGTGAACACTTAACGAGGCGCACACTTCTCACTGGGGTGGTCTGATGGTTCGGTAGTTTCATTCGTATGAAACTACCGAACAATCATATGAATACTACATACATTTTACAGACATACAGGGAAACAATTACACGAATCCATTTTCAATACAAATTCCTAAGGACAGCCTTAACACAATCCGCTACAGAAGGTACTCTCGAACATATTTGGTTGTTTTGCTCAAATATTCAGCAGTATTGGAAACAAGTACTTATATATATTAAACACATTTTACCGTTATCATATGACTTAACTCCCTCGCAATTTTACTTGGATGGCCTAATTCCTTTACTGATATAAAGCAACAGAAGCTACTGTGGTTTTTAATAAATGAGGCCAATACTTTAATTCCAGTTTTCTGAAAAAAAAATACTATCCCGACAATAGAAAATTGGGTAGAGAGAGTCAAAGTGACTAGGGTAATGGAGGAACTTCATTGGGGCTCAGAAAATAAAAATGAAAAATATTTTAAAATATGGAACCCTTGGATAAATTATTGGTCTTCAAAAGGAGAGGTTGTATGATATATAATGTGATACATTTAGTTGTTTTATTATAATTGGTTGTCCCACCGCCATGCAGTAGCCAAAAAGTAGCCCTAATAACAAATGGAAATTTAATTAATATATTGCAATTTAAGATATTGATTTGATTCTAGAATGTTCAGACATGGTGTATCGTACTACATGACACCAGAGGTAAGGAAAGACTATACTATATAATATGATAATTTCCCTGTTCTGCTGGCCACATTGTTTTTCATAAATACGACTAGGAAGAATTAATGATTAGAATTGATGCAATACACTTATTATGTTGTATATGTGTATGTTATTTTATTTGTATATTTTTATATATGTTTTTTTTCTTTTTTGTTTTGTATAAATAGTATCAAAAACAATCTAAATATGGAATATTTAAAATTTGATGCATTTGTTGTAATATGTTAAATGAAAAATAAAATTAAAATAAAAAAATATTTCTTAAATAAATGTATTTAAAGGGTACTCTATAAATCTGTATCAGTCTCTATGCTGATTTAATGCTAACAGCAAAATGGATTAGCTTATTGTTCTGGCTAGAAGAATGGTATGACACATTGAAACTTCCTTTACTATTTGGGGGGTTGGGAGGACATTTTTAGTGGAATGAGTGGAATTGGTTCCTGGCAGATAAATTTGTTCCTGTGCAAGCTGGTAATCATTCTGTCAGTGTAAATAAATGTCAGCAATGCTTTATGGATTTGATTTTGTTTTTTAAATTAATTGAAAGTAAAGATGTGTGAACACATTGTTGTTTTTTTTAGGGGGGGGCATGGAGGGGGTTATAAAACACAATGCAAACTAACATAAGAATATTCCTTTAAAACTGACTAATTATCACAACTAAACTGTTCTGCTCTTATGCTTCTTCGTGTGAAGCAAAACCTAGACTGCAAAAAGTTTCCAATCAGTACTCTTCATTCCTACTATTGGAGTTTTTGTTTGTAAAGTCACAAATAAACAAAGAATACATGAGATTGGTCTAAACATGCTTGCTATCCCCTGAGTTCTTGAAACCTTCCTGTTATCTCTTTTCTGAGTTGTCATATTATGTGAGTTTCTCTAGCTGTGTGGAACAAATCCTGTCAATAAAGATTTGTTATAAATATCAGCTATTGCGGCTGTTAGAGTGACATGCTACTTTCTCAGATATGACCCAGTTAATAAATAGACAGGGCAAAACATCCTGCTTTAAAGCGTTTTTTTACATTCTTCTTTAAAGGAAAAATAACAGGACTGAAGTGATGATACTGTTGGGTTAACGCTTTACGCTAAGTCATGGGAGGATATGCATTTTGTCAGGATTGTAGAAGCAAATAAGGTACAAATGTCACCATTTGAAGGTAATGAAATAAGATAAGACTGGGTTATTTGTAGTTGGGAGTTACTAGGCAGGGGTGGCAGTGAATTATGAAATACAGAGGTTCCGCATTCACATTAGGAGTAGGCAACCTTTTGAAGTGCGGTGTATATGTTGATTGTGTTTGTTTGTGGGCTGCTTGTTGTGTTACATATGTAGGTGTGCTGTTTGTGGAATTTACATGTGTGGTGTTATCTGTGGTGCTAGTAATATTGCACGCATGGTAGCTGTCTTTTATGTTTGTATGTGAATTACTGTGATCAGGCTTTTTGTGGTGTCGTCTGCATATGGTATCGTAAGTATTGTGTAGGCTGCCTTTAGTGATGTTTGTATGTATGTGAACTGTTTTTAGTATTGTGTGTGTTTATGAGGACTGCCTGTTGCGTTATGCATGTCATTTAACTGTCTTTGATGTTAAATGTGAGAATATAAATTGCTTATAGTACTTGAATGTATGATGTGGACTGTCTCTTGTACTGTAGGGATAACTGCTGGCAGTCTGTATTGTTGTGTTGGGATATATTTAATTACAATTTTGCTTTAGTTAAAAGTTATTATAAATGTTATTTTATGCCCTTAAACTTTGCCTGTCTGAAGTTTTGTGTGTGGAGGTATTTGCAGGGTCTTTATTTAAATGTAGCCTGAATTTTAAAAAAGTTATTATAAAGTGTTTTTTTTTTTTTATGCCCTTAACTTTTTTTGCCTACCTTTTGTCTGGTCTGATGGTTGGAAATTGCAGTCTGCACTTTCTTTGAATGCAGACCACTTGTCTTTCTGTCTCTGCTCTGATACTTTAATGGCAAGCCAGAGCATTTCCTTATCAACTTGTTTCAATGCTCTGAATACCTGAGAAACTTCAGAATGCGAGGGGAGGAGAGGGAAGGGCCTGGAAGGCTTTGTGTTCCTCCCAGGAGCAGGCTGGTCGGAGCATTGCCGCTCGTTACCATGGCATGCTCCGTTACAGTGCTGTGCTCGCAGTAGGACAGGAGAGTCAGCCTGCAGCCGGAGGAGCTGCAGGCTAAAGTGAACATGCCACCACTGGACCACCAGGGCTTGCAGCATTATGACCCCCTCCCTAGTAAAAGGTAAGGAGAAAGGGGAGGGGAGACAGTAAGATAGATTTTCACATCTCACCCATCTACACACAGCATAGACCCTATGCATTCTTCACACACAAACACACACTGAACCCCTCACACACACTGCCCTCTTCATACACACTGCACCTCTGACACAAATACACTATATCCTTTGTAACGGATCACCTGGCACCCCGACTGGGTACCTCCGTTGAAGGATGCTCCTAGCGCTTCCTGAGGCATAACCACCGTAGACTCCTTCAGAGAACACGACAGGTACAAGCTCTTAAAAGAGCTTGGAGTGATTATAGCAAGGGAATATGCAATGTAACGGATCGATGGGCACCCCAACTGGGTACCTCCGTTGAAGGATGCTCCTAGCACTTCCCAAGGGCTCTAAGTACTCCAGCAGTCACCATAACCACCATAAACTCCTCCAGAGAGCAAGGCAGGAACAAGCTCTTACAAGAGCTTAGTAGTGATTTAGCAAGGGAGTAGCAGATTCCCCCAATAAGAGACGGTACTCCAAATTGAGGGTGAAGTAGAACTGAGGTTTCTAATGACACACACTCTGCTTTTGTGCCCATTCTACAAACATAGTACTGTTGTAGAATTATTAGGCCTCTATAAATCTGTAAGGCCCCTTTAAATCCTCTTGCTATACCTCTAAGAGGCCCCCATAGTTTTACAAGAAAGCCTTGTCTATAGAACATAGAATTTGCATGTCAGCAAGAAATAGCTTGATAAAATGTGTATTTACTAAAAGCCTTGAAACCTATCCTTGAGAAACTAACAAGTGCCAGCTACGCTCTAAATGGATAGCTGCCAAAAGGCCCCTCCCGTTGAGTGAGCTCCTCATGTTAGCAAAATGGCGCTAAAACCTGGGGGAGAAAAGCATGACGTAGATAGTGACTTAAGATGGTACACCCCATAGGGAGGGCATTTTACTAACATCTTAGCACCTAAGCCAATTAACAATGTCTATTTGTCTATATCTTGATTTTCTTCAATGATGTAATAATGCCTTTAAAAGGGTCTGCGCACCCATTTTCTGTCAGAAGCCATTAAACTTCTCCGAAGTTCTTTCATTAACCTGAACTTTGTGTCTCAGTGTGAATTTACTTCTGCGTGCACGCAACTTTATTATCTTTAATTTGGACAGGAACAGATAGTCATTCAAACTAATTGGTTTGCAGTAAATTATCTACTACAAATTGGCGCTTCCAACGTGGGGCTCTGGGCTATGTCCTGCCTGGGCAGCTGTCCAAGAAGATGCTGGGGGGGTGAATCCTGGGGGAAGGAAAAGAGCCTGATCACCTCTGAGTACACGGTAGAGATTGCTGCAGCACCTAGCCGGTATGTTCCTACCCCTGTGATTGACCTGTTCCAGTGTCTGTGACTGCTGCCGAGAGGACATCAAAGTCAGGTAATAACTTGCCCAGAGTCTTTGTATTGTTAATGATACTTAATTTACCTGCATGTTGACTATCTGTTGCCTGGGTGTGTTTGTATTGGTATGTGTTTAACTTAGTCTACCCGGGGAGTGTAAGTGCCTGTTTAACTCCTTTTAGGTACCACATGCCTGTGGTAGTAAGGAAAAAGGGGGGTGGACCTGTGGAAGTTTTCCTGGGGGTCCTCTATTGCCTGTTTAACTCTTTTAGGAGCCACGTGGCTGTGGCTGTAAGGAAAAAGAGTAGGGGGAATCTGTGGAGGATGATGTAGACTCATTGCTTCCTGGGGGTTCCCCAGAGTGTCATTTTGACCGCTTAGCTAGCCTCATCGGACACTTCTTCTTGGTAAAATTCCAGCCTCGAGCGCTGAGGCAGGTAAGATTCCAATTCTTTAGGCTATACAGGATTCGGGTTGGAAGCTGTTGCTGTTTCCTGTGGCTGCTGGTAGTGAGACTTGCGGGTGGGTCCGCAACAGGGACACTACGAGGTTGAGGGAGGTGGCTTTTGGCCACACGAGTAAAGGCAAGGGATAAAACTGTTGAACTTATTTGAACTGTGATGCATGCACTGTATTTACACTGAAATGTTATTGTCTTAATTGTCTGTCACACAGATTCCTGTGTTTACTTTTATCTTACTCACTGTACTACTTACACTTTCCCCTCCTAGTTCTCTTTCTCTGTTGAGAGAAGTGATTGGTCACACACTTCTCGCCACGCTCCAATCCGCGGCTACCACGGGTAGGCGGAATCAGTGACTAGTCTACGTTTTGGGAAGACGTACTTAAAGAGCTTGCTCTTAAAGTAGCAGTCGAGCACGGTAGACTTCTGTTCCTTTCTCTCTCTATATCTGGGACGCCTTATATAGGGAGGATGGGACAGAAGTTAGATAAACCCAGTAAGGGTTGGTTAGCATGTGATCTAGTGGAAGACAGAGAAGGAGAAGAGATGGTTAAGAAAGTGAGGAAGATTGCTAAAGTATGTGGAATTACCGTACCTCTGTGCGGCAGATTGTAGCCAGAGAGCTGGCGTAAGTTACTGACAGAGAAGAAAGGGAAGCTGTCGGACCAAGATTTGGTTTGTACAGCAGAAGCCTGATACCGAGTAGCAAGAGCTATTCAGCAAAGGGGATAGGTTGAGGAAGAAATTGATCACAAAGGTTTAAGATTGTTTGTGTATTATAATAATTGTGTTACTGGATGCTGATGGATCCCTATTCCCCCCCCCCCATCAGTCCTACAGATCTCGTCACCCTCATCCTCTCTCTGCAGCTCCCTGCACCTCCAGTCCGTTTCTCCCGTCAAAGATTTCTGGTTTCCAAACGTATAAGTCTCTGTCCTTCTGTCTTGTTACTTTACAGCACTCACATGGTTAATCTTCATGCCTGCAGTCTCTCCCTTTTTGCACTGTCTCACATTCTCCCCCCCTCACCCCCCTCCGCCCCGCCTACATTTCCGGGAGCTACTGATAAGAGTTAGGAACGGGATTTTTGCTGGAAAATATTCTAATTCAAAGGTTATGGTGTTATAGTTCTGTAACAATATTATTATTGTTGCCATTTGCATGGCGTCAACAGATTCCGTAGTGCTATATATTTATAAATTATGTTTTGTGATAAGGTACTGAGGATTGTGGGAGTGACGGGCTCACAAGATTGCATTCAGTGTTGAATACGGGATTTAGGAAGGTGTAGCCTGTTAACACTGATAGAGGGAATATGCGATGTTGTTAAGTCAGTATAAGAGGAGGAAAGTGATTAATGGTTTGAGGAAGATAAGGGAATTTGGTTGAATTCCGCGAGTTTATCTTGCATCATTTTAAAGAACATGTTTCTAGAAGACAGCTGTATGGGCTGTTAAATGCATAATGTTCTCAACTGTCTTATTTAACCTGCCAGGTCTGTTCATAGTTTAATATTTCATTTTGCAGAACAGAATGTTGCTTCTCTGACTTATTTTAATAGTTATAATATAGTGTATTGTTGAAGGTGCGTCAGCCACCACCCTACAGATGGCGCCTACTACAGAAGGAGGTTGACCCTGCCAGTCCCGTGACCTATCTACAGTCACGGTTGCTTCTAAAGTGACGTCACTTCCGCCCTTACCATGCCCACACCTCCTGTCTTCCTTTCCCACACCTATCATGGACGTCACCTCACTTCCTCCCTTGCTGTCATTTCCTTCCCCGCCCCTGTCATGGCTGCCTCCATTATGAGGCCTACCCCTATCATGCTCGTCCTATTTAGAGACATGTTGTTTTCCTTACACTCTACATATTATGAACTGAAACATTATAATTACTGAAACAATCATGCCATTTGTTTCCCTGTATCAGAAATTTGTCCGTGTTATAAAAAAAAAAAGAAAGTTGCTAAAATGTAATTTGCAACTGTGGTGTGACCTACAAATGAGATCTGTTGGACACGAATATAAGAACATAACAGCTGATTATCCAGATTAATTTTGCAACAAGGGAAATAGCTAAATAATGCAAGTTATTTTAAACATTGTATCTTTACTTAATCGAATCTTGCTAGTTACAGATCGTAGGTTTACAGTAACATCCTTTACGTTAAATGATGGTTTAGCATTAGAAGGGTTTGTGACATGTTTTATTAACCCAGCCACTACTGGTTGTTTATTTTAGTTACAGGGTGGTATAATTGTTATAGTCTAATTGATATAAATAATAGTACCGCAATAGTTAATGTTTTATCCAAAGACATATAGGAACTTTACTTCACTTACTATTAACCATTATTTATAATGATAGACATGTTCAGACTGCAAAAAGCTATGGCTAAAGACATAGAAAGGGGTTTGAGTCAGTAACACAGCCCATACAGAGGAGAGCAAACCCGCTGATGCTTAATGCCCCTGCCATGGCAGTGTCTACAGGGAACAAGGGGGGCCACTAGCCACTGTAACTTTACCTATTGAAGGTCACCCTACTACTTTCCTGGTTAACACAGGTGCAGCCCGCAGTGTTCTTAGAGAACAAGACCTGCCTGACTCATCGTTCCTGCCTGACACCGATGTCTCTTGTGTTGGTGCTGATGTCCTATCCCGCCTCCAAGCATCCATCACCCTCACTGCAGACGGCCAGGTTCAATTAAATACACCTTTGTCACGAAAAGACACTACAGTTCTTTGTTCCCTTCCCATTTTACTGTGGAGATGATCTACCCACAACAGAACAATGCTCAATTAATCTTCTTTGCTACCTAGCAGAACAAGGATGTAAAGCTTCACGTCTCAAGCTGCAATTCTGCCAATCTACTGTTATCTTCCTTGGCCATTGTCTGTCTCAGGGAACCAGACATCTTACCCGTGACCGAGTTAGAGCAGTACTGGACATTCCACCTCCAAGGACCTCGAAGTCACTACACGCCTTCCTGGGCCTCATTTCCTATTGCCGAGCATGGATCCCAGAAGCCTCGCTCCTTATGCAACCTCTTTATGATGCTCTCAAGTCAGACCCATTTTGCTTGTCCACGGAAGCCCTTGACAACTTCTGTTCTCTCAAACGTGCTATTGCTTCTGCTCCTGCTCTTGGCCTACCAGACTATACCAAACCCTTCACATTGTTTGTTTCTGAAAGACAAGGCCATGCAACAGGAGTACTCACTCAGGCCCATGGTCCTGGAGGCCGCCAAAGGCCTATTGGATTTTTCTCCTGCCAACTGGATATTGTGGCCAGAGGACGTCCCACTTGCCTTCGGGCCGTCTGTGCTGCCAAAGAGCTCATTGAAAGAACTGGAGATCTTGTCCTTGGCCACCCCCTGGTTGTCTTGGCCCCTCATGACATTTCTGCCATAGTCAACCAGGTCCAACTTAAGCATGTTACTCCTGCTAGGCATCTTCGCCTTCAATGTCATCTTTGTTGCCTGACCACATTACCCTTCAAAGATGTCAAGTTCTCAATCCGTCCACTCTTCTGCCACTCCCTGAGGGGGGTGTATGTAAAATACTACCTGACACCATGACTTGTTGCACTTATATCCCAGAAAACACAGGTCCTAATGGTAAAGTCACTCTGGCCATAGCTAAATTAAATAGACTCTCAGAAGAGTTAAAGAGAAACTCTGGAGTTACTGATCCCTGGGGAAAATGGTTTGGTTGGATGACTGGTTGGCAGAGAGCTTTAGTCCAGATTGGTATTGCCTTACTAATTTTTCTTTTTATTCTCGCTCTTCTCATTTGTTGTGTCCTCCCATGCCTAAGGAAATTCCTGCAGAAAACTGTAGACCAAGCAACACCAACCTTCACTCATCTGACAATCGATGATCAAGACCTCATCTCACCCTGTATTCCGCTACAAACTCTCCCTTATACTGATGAAGTGCAGAAAGTCTAGGAAGGGACAGTACAGGGACAGCGTCCGTCTTTATGGGTAGACTGCCGTACGGAGAAGTAGTGGATAAGCCACTATGGGTTACCAGCGGAGTGAAGAGTGTTCCTGAACCGTACTGACGGATGTGCTGCAGCCTGTTAGGGTCAAGAGAGGGATAGACTTGCACTTTGCATTAACACTAAGTCAGCGGTCATGGGGTTTCTGTGTCTTTGGGTTAACACATCTTCTGATACTAACAAATAAAGTTTGTCTTTTAGCAAATAACATTTTAGGGGGGACTGTTGTAGAATTATTAGGCCTCTATAAATCTGTAAGGCCCCTTTAAATCCTCTTGCTATACCTCTAAGAGGCCCCCATAGTTTTACAAGAAAGCCTTGTCTATAGAACATAGAATTTGCATGTCAGCAAGAAATAGCTTGATAAAATGTGTATTTACTAAAAGCCTTGAAACCTAACCTTGAGAAACTAACAAGTGCCAGCTACGCTCTAAATGGATAGCTGCCAAAAGGCCCCTCCCGTCGAGTGAGCTCCTCATGTTAGCAAAATGGCGCTAAAACCTGGGGGAGAAAAGCATGACGTAGATAGTGACTTAAGATGGTACACCCCATAGGGAGGGCATTTTACTAACATCTTAGCACCTAAGCCAATTAACAATGTCTATTTGTCTATATCTTGATTTTCTTCAATGATGTAATAATGCCTTTAAAAGGGTCTGCGCACCCATTTTCTGTCAGAAGCCATTAAACTTCTCCGGAGTTCTTTCATTAACCTGAACTTTGTGTCTCAGTGTGAATTTACTTCTGCGTGCACGCAACTTTATTATCTTTAATTTGGACAGGAACAGATAGTCATTCAAACTAATTGGTTTGCAGTAAATTATCTACTACAGTACCGCCCACAGGGTTTTGAAGTACAACCAATCAATACATACAATACACTCAGACACTCCCACACAAAATCTTCCCATCTGCCTGTGATATAATTACTGAACACAATGGGCTAACGTAATTATCACAGGCAGGTAAATACACATTTTGCACAATATTCATAACTTTAAAAGTATACATCACATTCACATTAAACGTACATTTCCAGAATCTGCATACTCCAAATACAAACATATGTCAAAATCATACAAATTGGTCCAGTGAGTCAAAAGTTAGTTGGAAGTCCCTTTGTGACCGCCTGCAAGCATGGCTTAGGTGTGGTAAGCCAATTATCTCCAGCATACAGAAAATAGCTCTATTCACAACAACAGTAAAAATACATAAAAATACATAATTCCTATCATACTGAACAGAACCCCTCGGATAGCTTGGATCTGAGCGCTCACTATATCCGAACAGCGCTCAGATCCCACGAACACAGTCAAATCGCCATGGGGTTAAACCATAGCAAGGGCTGATGAGAGACAGAGGAGGGGAAAAACAGCAAGTTCCAACTGGTCTGGCAGTGTCCCTGGGACAACGCCCTGCTGGAGAACAATAGACAGGAAACGGGGGAGGGGCACACCTTCCCATGTATTCAAAGGGGCAGAAAAAGTGTTTAAAAATGCAATAGGCCCAAATAAGTTTCTAAAAGGGCAATACATCCCAAGGGCCATAGTTACATGGCAGGAGGCTGGCAATCAGTCTTCTCCAATGCCCAGTGGCGAGGCTCTAGTAGACAGCCACTAGAGGTGGAGTTAACCCTGCAAGGTAATTATTGCAGTTTAAAAAAAACTGCAATAATTACACTTGCAGGGTTAAGGGTAGTGGGAGTTGGCACCCAGACCACTCCAATGGACAGAAGTGGTCTGGGTGCCTGGAGTGTCCCTTTAAGACAATGACAAAGTTTACACATCTGAGCAATATGAAATCTCAAAGAAAGAAACACATCAGTAGAAAATATTTCTGAATTCCGGTATCACTATGTATGGGTAATTACATGGTGAAGGCATTGATCGTATGAATAAAATTCTTGCATCGGCTAAAATTTCCAACCTGGAGTTATAACTTGGAGACACATGACCTATCCCAAACCTATACGTATTATTCCACAAGAGACCCAAAAATGTAGAAATAAAACCAGAGCTAAAGTTTTGATGACCAGATGAAGATGCAATCCTAAAAATCTCACAAAAAAAGTAATCTGAAGCTTATAAATGAGCCATATATTATGGAGTGGTTGTTGCATTAAGAGAGACACTAGATATTAGCGTGAAGAAACACATTTTTAGGACTATTATAAGGCCATCTGTTGACATAAAAAATAATACATGAACATTAAACTCTCTGTGGATGGAGGGCTGGACAAGTGATCTAGGAGAGGTAAAGCGATAAAACCATCATAGTGGAGCTGGCAGTTCAAGTCAATTTCTAATAAGCCTTTTGGTCGCACCAATCCAGCATAGATATCGTGTTAGGACATTCATGATTACATAAACTTGTGTGGCTTCTAAAGAAAATATAACTAAAACTTCCAGTCTAATGTTTATTAAGAAATTATCACTTTTCTTTATCTATGTTTGAGGATTATAGCACGAGAAAATAAATAAAAAGGTGTGATAATCATTCAGGTGGTAGAGAAAATAAAATGTTTTGATGAAACATTATAA